TTGATGGATGATGGAAGGAGGAAGGAGTTGGAGGGCTCGTTACTTGTTACCCTTTCCTGTTTTGCTTTGTTTACGAACGTATGAGAGAATGGCTTGACTCTTCACTGAAAGACCTGATACCCGATAATACCCTACCTCCTGTATCATATACCTAAGTACCTTAATATCACCGAATTGTGTTCTCGCTACAAGCTGATAGGGACATGCGACTTATCTGTTCCTGCCCCTTCTGTCAAACCTGTCGAAGATGGAAACGCTACTGACATTTACGAACACCTATGATGTATATTATGATGCGTTCCTCTCTCAGCTTCACTGGTTCTACGTATTGATCCAAGCGGTATGATGGCTATAATCGCGCCCACACAATGGGATTTATACATATACTTACCCATATGATATACGTATGGGTGCCTACACGTCTATCACTGGTCGATACAGCCACAAGTCAAGCCACAACCTACAGTAAACACTCGGACAACCCCTGATAACCTTATTCCCAATTCAGAGTGTCTTTTCAGTCTAGCATCACCACCCGATCCGGCTGCCGACAGCCGGCGCGAGGGAAAAAAGCTCCGCGGTCTTGGCAAATAGGCGATCCGGGGCAAGTGGGGTCTCCCGTCGGGGCCGCAGCCCTAGGAAGCCCGGATGAGTGCCGCGACGTTTCGGGATGCTGACTGGCAACTGCAGCCCACTTTGAGCGCTGATGAGACGATACCTTAGTATCACAATCTCTCTGAATTCTAAGTAGATCCATAGATGAGCGTTTGAGGTTAGAATACTACTCGCGCGAAAGAGGCAAGCGAGTTGCAGCTCAAGGACGATTTTCTACAGCATTTTCTCTGCCGATCGAAGCTTGAATATTGGCGTTATTGACGCAATTTTGGCCTTCTAATATCATCTATGTAGGTCTTTTTGACGATCTCGCAGCTCAAGTATGTGGAATTGTCTCTTTTGTCTACAATAATGAGCCTGCAGCAGTGCTATCAGGTACTCAGGTAACTACGTCAAGTAATCTGCCGACGCGAGACAAGCTCCTAAAACGTGTGCAACGGCGCAGAACCGTTTGACTCTCGATGAGACCGGTCTCATTCGGCAGTCAACGGGGTTCAACACTCGTTTAGCCAGACCAGCGAGTTTATGGCGGCACATGTCAGCTATCATGGACACTAGAGGTCTGCGCAGTAGTGCGCAAAGTTGACTTCAAGCCCTTAGATCGTGAGATGTGCGGGATCGCCACCACTACTGCCAACATTTTCGTCTCGAAAAGGCCTCAATTCAACTATGAAGGTGGGATCATCCGGCCCATGAATCTGGACCAGTTGCCGACTTCAAGCGAGCCTAGGCTGTTAGCCCATTGCCGCTCCAATGGCAGCACCACAGTGACAGCGGCCCAATCTCTAACACATGAGAGACAACACTGGTGCTAGGAGAGGTATCGGGATGTGGTGAGAGACATTTAAAACAGGCGATCGCGGACGCTAGAAGTGAGAAGACGACTAAGGCTCGTGAATGACGTAGTTTCTGGGCAAACTGGGAACGAAGGATCAGACAACGTGGGAAGACTAGGCAAAGAAGTGCCGCAGCGCCCATCTGAGGAATTCCGCAGATATACTCCCAGAGATTGGGGAAAATAGAACCGTTGGAAGCGAGATGAAGGGAAGCGGGCAAACCAGACTACCTAGCCAAGATCTCACCAACAGCGCGAAAGCCCAGCCTCGGTTACTGACCGCCTCCCGGGAGCCTGGGGTCTCTTCTCACCTCACTTATGCAAGCCGCGGCCACCGCTTTTGCCCGTTCCGAAAACAGATGTGTGCTCCGCGAAGAAGCGTTTGAGAAGAGCCCCTCGTGATCCTTGATCACTGATGGACCGTGATGGCCTTGTGGGAATCTGCGGTTCTGGACCGCTCCAGAACGAGACAGAACCACAGGCCATGGCCCGTGTCTCGGGGGGCGTGAGGCGTCAAGCAGGTTTCCCCATACTCTGTTACTCCGTGCCTCGTTCGAAACTCCCCAAGCCACTGCAGTCTGATGCTCCCGTGAGCGGGGTTGGGACGGGGGCATCGGGAACCATTGGGTCGAAAGCATTGTACCATTGGCAATTGAAATTACGTAGGATCCCGCCTCCGAAGCTCTTCCCTGACGATAAGTGAGATCTCTCTAAAATTTCACGATCCGCGATCCCAAGAGGACGGGGGACCCGCGACGTCTGAACTCATACTCTAACCCCCGCCCCAGACCGCTTTCGAGCTAGGTACGGTTGCCCGTATCACCTTTGGGCTTTAGCTTCAACTGGGATTAGACTCTCCCTCTCTCCCCGAGTTACCACGGCAGAGAGAGCTTTCGAACTTTTTGGCTCGTTTCGTAAAAACGTGTGGTTGAAGAGGAGGGGCGCCGCGCCAGACTTTGCGGGAAGACCAGCGTGTTTTTGCTTCTTTCTCACTAGCTTGGCGTCAAAAAACAGGTCACGCATACCCCAAAGGAGAAGATGACTTAATTAGTGCGGGGGTTTTCTATGCAGAAGGAGTTTTTGTTTTTTGGCAGATCACTGTAAGGGACGGCGGCAAAGTTTACGAGGCTTGAGGTGTTGTGACTGTGTGCGAGGATGGGAATTGCGCAAATATGCCTTTGGTATGACCGAATTTCCCGGCGATCTTTCACCTTGGAGGGATGTTATCACGGTTATTTCTGGAGGTTATTTCGATGAGAGGGGGCCAAAAATGTAAGGGCGGCACGGCGGCAAGGGGCGGTTGGGTTTTCTGCATCCAGGTTCCTTGTCAGGATCTTCCAACCGGGACGGGGGTTGTCATGTTGTTCGGGTCTCTGTGTTGTCACCCTAGAAACAAACAGAGACATGGAGGGGTAAAAGGCAGCAAGACAGACGGGCAGAAAGGTCGAGCTACTTGAGCTCAGTAAGAGATGTGGTGGGAAGGACAAGTCTCCGTATGTCTCACTCTGCGTGTCTACCCACCTCCCACCACACCTCCTTTGCGCTTCCTCCGGCTTCCTCCTGGCTGTCCGATGAGAGCCGCATGGCGTAATGCCCCGCAAAGCCGCGTTGAGGCGGGGTCAAGTAAGAAGGTCAGAGCAGGTTACATGCAGGCATTCAGGCCCAGCTAGCGCCACGGGCTTTCGAAAGGAGCTGGGCAGTCGATGACCGCATTTTATGGAGTAGGTGACGCCACACTACGGCACAATATCACAACGAAGAAACACGAAAACACGAAAAGGATCAGAGGTCACTAGCCACATCACAATCTCCCATCATCTCCGGTCTCCAGTCCGGCTGTCCAATCATCGAGCTAACGCCACACGCGGGGCCGTCCAGCCGAGCTCTTGATGCTGCGTCATTGGAGGGGGCTTCCTTTCCGTTGCCTTGGTTCTGTGGATATCACATCACATCCCTGGCCGAGGCTGGAGCCACATACATACGCTTTCGGGAACGTCAAACCTCGATCCATGTCACATCACTCCACAAGTCCACCTCCAGTTCTCAACCTCTCAGGCCTCTCGCTCCCAGAGGAACACGACACGACACGAACGAGAAAGCTCGGATCACGTCTTTTCCCCTCGTATGTACAACCGCCACCACGGATTGCGTTTGCCCGGTTCTGGCCCGTAGGTACCTTCGTAGGGCCATTGAGAGGTCTGCAATGTCTCACAGCTCCCACTCAATGGCTTGTAGCTGTTGGAAAACTTGCGACTTTCTCGCCGAATAGGCTGTGAGACACGACGCGCGGCGGCGCAGTCCGTCTCTCGTTTTGTCTCCAATGCTGCGCTACCCCAGTCAGATGCCAGCTCAGCTTGGCAACTCTGTCACGCTTGGACGAAACGGAAAGACGAACAGGAGCGCCAGGCGGAACAGCTGCGTACCTAGTTTCTGATTCTCTCTGAAGCTTTCCCCTTCCTCCACCACGTGCGGTACCGTACCTGAGCAAACGCAAAGAGACATGCTTTCCCAGGTTACAGTCGTTACTCCAGTCCGAGCCAAAATAACCACACGTCTCCAATTCTTCTCCATTTGTCTTCGCCACATTTGCTGTCCATCTCGCAGCCCTATAACGTCACCAGCCACAGATCTTCATCCCCTCTCGAACCGTCGTGGCCCCGCCGTTCCTTTGGCCTATGACGACGAATCCTTGACATGTTACGTGCTGTTGAGCTCTTGGGAGCCCTCTTTGGGAACCCTGAGTACCTCTGTACCTTCATTCTCCATTGCCAAACCGGAGATTCCTCTGAAGCAAAGTAAAAAGGCTTGACGGAAACAAGCACAGTGTCACGCCAGACAATGCTTCTGGGTCGTCATCCAGCCATGGCAAACTGGGTCTAGTTCACCGGTTCCCCATTGGCCTGGGTTAGGGGGAGGGACCCCGGTCTGCCCTCCGGAGAAGATGCACCGCACTACCGACTGATGCTAGTCCTGGGGCCCAACGCCTCACCCCGACTGGCTGACAGTTTTTGAAGCTTGTAGTCCCGAATGAGACACCTGCGTCCAAGACCTATGACGATGTATGAAGTAAGTGCCCAAGCTGTCCCTCACCTCTGCGGCCACTTTCTCCTCCAAACCAAACCCATGCCGGCATGTACTGTGTGTATGGGCATTGGCGCTGGACTGGCCTAGACAAGCAGGCAAGCAGGCACGGTGATGCAGGTTCCTTGATTGTTGTCAGTCACAGCGTAGGCGTTGCAAGGGTGGTCACAGAGAGGAGTGAGAGAAGGACCAGCCACGGGGCTTGCTTTGCTTGCTGGATCGCGATCGTAATTGTATGATCTACCATCGGAAAGGAGTTTCGAAGATGCAGCTTCTCGATGTGCCTTTGATTCTATATAACCTCCAGAACCTCTCCTCCTCAATCTTGTCTTTTCTTCTCTTCTCTCTTCATCATAACACAAGATACCCCAAAACAACCAACTCTCAAAACCAACTTAGAAACAAACCACCTCTTTCATAACCCATATTCGATTTCATTTTGATACCCCAAATCATCAGATAGCCCAATATGTCTTCTATTGTCAACAAGGTCAAGGACGCTCTGTCTTCGGACAAGAAGCACGAGCAGCCTGAGGGAACTCACGGTCACCATGACAGCCGCGTAGCAAACGCCGCCGACCCCCGCATCGACTCTGACCGTGACCACCGCGCCAACCCCGCTGGTACCACCGGCACTCACACCGGAACCCACACTGGCACCTCCGGCCTCACCGGTACCACCGGTGGCCTCACCGGCTCTAACGTGACGGGCACCCACACCGGCCACACCGGCGTTGGCGGCTATGATGGCCCTGCCCCTACCACTGCTGGCCCGTAAGCCTCACCCTCTCTGTCTTATACCTTGATTCTCAATTAACACCTCCCAGTCACAAGTCAGACGCCCTGAACAAGGCCGACCCCCGTGTCGACTCTGACCACTCCAAGGACCACCACAACACTCACACCACCGGCGGCCTGACTGGCAACCCCGCTGGCGCCGGCCACCACACCACCGGTGCTCACGCCGGTACCCACGGCACCCACACCGGCACCACCGGCGGCCTTACTGGCTCCAACACCGTCACCGGCTACGATGACCCCACCGGCACTCACGGCACCCACAACTCTCGCGTCGCTAACGCTGCCGACCCTCGCATCGACTCTGACCGTGACCACCGCGGTGCCCCCGGCCACACCGGCATCGGCGGCGCTGGCGTTGGTGGTGTCGGCAGCACTGGCACTCACACCGGAACCCACACCGGCACCTCCGGTTTGACCGGCACCCACGGCACCCACGGCACCCACGGCACTCACACCGGTACCACCGGCGGTCTGACCGGCTCCAACACTGTCACCGGCTACGATGATCCCACCGGCACTCACGGAACCCACAACTCTCGCGTCGCTAACGCTGCCGACCCTCGCATCGACTCTGACCGCGACCACCGCGGCGCCCCCGGCCACACTGGTGTCGGCGCTGGTGTTGGATCTACCGGCACCCACACCGGCACTCACACCACCGGCACCCACACTGGTGCTCACACCGGTGCCCACACTGGTGTCGGCCACACTGGCGTCGGTGCCAACACCCACAGCGCCACCACCGGTCCCGCCCCCGGCACCGCTGGCCCCCACAAGAGCGACTTCCTGAACAAGGCCGACCCCAGAGTCGACTCCGATCTTGATGGCAGCAAGACCATCGGTGGCAACAAGTAAGCGATTTGCACACCACGAGCACAAGAGAACGATTCCGGATGATTGGGTGGCTGACGAGTGCGCACCCCAGGACTGGAACGTCTGCAACCACTGGTCACGCCAAGGATCCTACCGACGCTGCTCAGGTTCCTCCCTCCGTGCTTGCTAAGCACATTGGTGAGCCCGAGACTGCGCACGGCGGTGTTCACGGAGACCACGGAAGACGGAACTCGATTCCTTCCCACCAAGAGACTCACCGCGGATTGTAAAGGGGGATGTTGAATGCGGAGGATTGAATTGAATGATACCTAGTACAGCTGTACCATAGCGATATGACTTAATGAAACTATCATTGCTGAAAATTTTGGACTTTGACCGGTGATTGAGATCAGTGAAAAGAATTAGCCGTCTCAGGATTGTTGATGCCGTCTCAACATCCCATACAATCGATATCGATACTCTATCAAGTTAAGTGTGTGAATATTTAACCTTTGGTTTAGGGCTTAAGAGGTATACAGTAGAATGCCACATACGACCCTTCCTTTCACTTTCACATTCATCGGTTTCGATTCGTCTCTGCTCTTTTTTCCCTTTCCGTTCCGTCTCCAATCCCTTCACTCAGTATTCCCTCGCCCTTAAAAAATCCGTGTTCAGCTTTCCAAATCACGCAGCAACAAGCCACCAGTCTATGCCTCCTCGATGGGTCGTTCTATGCGATCCCTTCCTCAACTGCCTGAGACAGGCGATGTGAGGTTAAGTACAAGTGTCCATAGAAACGTAAGAATCGGATTGAAACCTATTGGCCCGGTACTTCAGTTCTTGAATCGCCAACGAATACTTTGCAGAAAGTTGCCGGCGGTGACAAACTCCTCTTGGTTTTTTCCCCCTGTTTTAATGGAAGACTAATCTGATTTTTCTACGAACCCCTTCTTCATGAAGTTGCGCGAGGACGCGCCAGCACAAAAGAAAGGGGGGGGGGGGGGCGGCAACTGTTAGCCAGGGCCCACGACGGGCTACCTTTGAAACCGACCGTCTTTCGGTCTCCTGGCATATTAATGATCATAAGAGCCCAGTATGCCCATTCAGTCCGAGACTGCAACTTACCAGTGGCCTCAAGTCCACATCAGGCGGGCCAATGCCCTGATGGCGAGCAGAGCAAACCCCGCCATATGTGGCTGCGCCCACGAATATAGTATATCACAAGACATTCAAGCCGTCAGGTAATAGGAATATAACCTGGGATCACATCACATTCGCGCCCCATGCGTGGCGAATCAGTGCATGCCTCACTATTCTAGAGGAAGACGGCACATAACAAAGCTTATATTCTACTCGGTTAGGCAAAACGTGATGTCGTATTTTCTTCCCGTCTATTCTTTTCCAAGCTCGTAGTAGCCTCCTCTTGAGCAAATACTCAGCTTCGTAGTTGCTACTTGCTCAAGTATGAATGTAGACACATTTTAAGGTTCTCTTTTCTTTCACCTAATCAAGAGAACAAACCTTCTCATTTTCGTTCGCTATATTATCGTAACGACACGTTTTGATACACCAAGTACTCGATAAGTCAAGGCTGCTTTGTGGCCAGAAAAGTTTGGTCTTGTATCAATCGCTAGTCCTAGGTTCACCAGGAACCAGCAGCGCCTGATATGCTTCTGGTAACATGCAGACATGGACTCGTATATGATCCCACCGGGTACTTCCTCTCGCGCATTAAGCTTAAAGGGGGTGAGAATGGTGAACAGAAGAAGGGCAAGAAATTGGTGGACAGCAGTCTATTCGTGTCCGTTCATGGCAGGCAGAGGCTCGAGATGAGAACGCTCGCGTTGTAGACGAGTCACAAGACGTCGTGGGATGGTTTCTGAGTAAGTATGAGAATGAATGTCATACAAGCAGCTAGCGCAGCTGGGAGGGAAGAAGACTAGAGTAACTAGCATGTAACATGTTCCTCCGTATCGATCAGAAGTTGTATTATGATTCGCCTCTACCATGCACCACGTCCGCTTCAAGTTTGCGATGAACTATTCCAGTCGATACAATAGTCACGCCTGTGGGTTAGGTGAATGGGTGGTTTCATCAACGAATCCTCAATGCATAATGCACATGGGAAGAACTCAAGTACTCGAGCTCAGTGTCCACACCTTTCTTGCAAACCAATAGGTGTCGCGACATACAAGAGTCTGCTTCCTGCTTCCCTCCTGGTTCAGTGTCGGCGAGCATTGGAATTCAACGACCAACGCTACCGCACCTTAACTAAACTGTTGTTGATACCGCCTAACAGTCGCAAAATCGGGCAAGGCCTGTGACGTTTCGTGACCACTCAGTCTCCATCGAGCGAGAACTTGAAAGGAGCTTCGAAAGTTGAGACCTCATAGGCCATTGACCAGACGGGCGACTCAGGCAGCGCCAAGAAGAATCAACTCAATGTCCCTGTCTTCAACAGCTTTCTAGATGCCTTGGACGTTCACAGTGCTTCCAAAGCCCAGATGACTAGCCTCTTCCCCGACATTGCCGAAGACGCTGGTCTTCTCTTCGACTTCTCCTCGTTGCCATTAGACTGGTCAGGCTGCCTCACATAGGTAAGTGTATAAGTGGTAGATGAGCCCGATTGATACTCGTCTTCCCAGCCACTCGGATCTCAGTCGAATGTAGTATTACCAGGTTAGGACCAAGTCACTCATCCGGCAGCTGGTGAATCGGCTCTTGTGTTGCATGTAGGAGCGATGCATGTCGACTCTGACATCTACCCATGGGCCTGAACATGCGTCTATGTCTTCAAATCACCGTCGTTCAAGTATCCTCTTCAGCATAAGCTGCCATGGAGGGAAAGAGAGTGATAGCATGAGGAGCTCTGAGGATTGTAGAAGCTGATTAGGAAGGCATCCTGGAAGTTCACAAGACCTTGGAAAGGCATGAGAGCAAGGCAACGCAGTGATTTTCAATACCCATAGGTTTCGCTCCCTGACGGAAACGTAATGGCTTGCAGAAACAAATCCCCCATCTTATCATGTATAGGGCTTATATAAGATGGATAGCTCGAAATTAAAGTTGAGGTCTCTAACCGTCCTCGCTCTGGAACAAAAGCGCTTTCGGGACGTCTCTTACGCTGTGGAATATGGACAAGCTGATAGAAGTCCATTGTATCTCTTGTCTACAGTCTCACAACATCAGTCACATAAAACTGAATGAGTTCCACTGATAACTTCTCTCTATGCAGAAGAGGAATGTTTGCACCGAACTCGTTACGAACGTCCAATGTATAGTACGTGTAGGTAAAAAGAGATAACAGTTATGTTAACGCACTTCAAAGCTGAGCTCATGCAGCACGTATAAGTTATTTTTTCACGGGAGAACCCAGATACATCTGAGCACCTCCACCAAGCCGTTGTACTCAACAGCTTCACAATGTTTAGTTCAAGAGTCTCTACGGGGTCGTCAATAACATGAATTCATCAAGGGCGCACGTTGGTATGACGACTGACTACTGGCAGATACCGTCAGAGCTTGAGCAGACGTCAACCAAGCTCTCCTCCGGCCTCCGTTCCTTCGGCAGCCCGACACAGCCGCGCCCTCCGGGCCCGGCCGCAACGCCGAAACCCCGGGATGTATCAGACCCCCAGCGACCGGCTTCACGTGCGGGGAGGCGGTCGCCCATCCGCCACTCTCCTCAACTCCCGAAACTCAAATGGACAACCTTTCTCGTTTGATTACGTTTTGCCAGTTAACAAGTTAACCCCTTTCCCCTATTCGCAATAATTTGACTACCTGCCTTATGCGAATTACCTTCCTAGTACGCCAATATGGACAACTCACAACGTGCCATCAAAGCGGACAGTCCTCCATCACAACCGGAACTACCACCAAATAGAGAACTTGCCCGCGCACGCCACGACGGACATCATGGCAAAACTAGAAGGATTGCCTCTGGACTCTACTTGGAGGAAACGGGGGGAGCTAAACCATATATCGAGCATGTCGCGGGCGTCCGCGGGCGTCCAGGTGATCTCCCCAATCCACTGCACGCCCGAACATTTCTATTTCCTGGGTCGGAGCACAAGTATCCCGCCGGCTTGAACTCCAAATACCACCCCGGCACAGCTCCGAGAGGAGGGAAGGAAAGGAAGGGGGAAGGAAGGGGATATGACGTCCTTTCGGGATGTAGTACCCGAACCCTCTTGCGCCATTCTGCGTCTCCTACTCAAATCACGATCTCGATACCGTCACAAGCGTGGCCTCCTTTTTCTAAACCACGAGCCGGCGCGCCCGCTTTCCCACGAGTCAAGAGCGCCCCCAGGGCTTGCGTCGTAGGAGTATCGAATCTAGAACGCTTGAGCGCCCTACCTCGCCCACCCCCTGGAAGCGCGCCATCGAAAAAAGGGAAGTGGGGGCCCCGAAAATGATGTTCTGACGCCGTCTGTAGATCCTCTTGCTCGGGCGCACGCGGCGGCGCACGCGGGAGAGGCAATCATACCGCATTCATAGGCATATAGGCAAAAGAGCCCCCTGCATTATCCGCCTCGTGCTAATTCAAGTCAGGGGGAGGATAGTTTCGTGGGGCTGGCACGGAAAGAAATGTCGAGTGTATAAGGCACATGGGTTTGATAGCCCAAGCCGTGCGTAGGACGGTTGGCTTGCAGGAAGGCGAGACCATGTGAGTTGCTTGGGACGATCTTCCATTGGGTCTTGGGGATAGGTCGGACTGGGCGTAACAAGGCGAGGAGATGGTGCACAGTCGGTGAGGTTTGGACGTCGCAGCGCTATGCGAGCTAGCACCGTCATCTTTGCAGTAGAGCGGATTTCCGCAGACGCATTCGAACCAAGGACGGCAGGGTGGCCAGGTTCTTACGACGTGACGACTAGCCCTCATGGGCGGAGGACGACAGACCTCGATTTCGTCAAATACTTGGCTAGCCATGCGCCCATAACATGTTTGATGCCGTTGAGCCACTAGGCCGCAATGGCAAATTCGCCCAGTACAAACCAAAACGTTCAGCTTTGACGTCGAGGGAACCCCCCGGCTGTTGTTGCGAATCATCGGGTTACTCATTTCGTGCATCTGATCTTCGACAACCCCGTCTGTCCCTCCCCCATCCCCAGGCCCCGATCCGAAGATAGTGGTGTTCTGGATCGCTCATGACCACTGACCACCGACCGATCCCTGGTGGTTCACCAACCCCTGCCGCATCCGAGGGTTTTGCTAATTTGCCCGTCTCGATGCACACCTAAGCCAGCCCCAAGAAGAAAAGAGCTTAATTGCACGGTCCTACAAATCTGGTTGCGTGAACGAGAGGCCTTCCCCCTCCACGGCGAGTAAGATGCGTTCTAAGAACCATGATGCTGGGACGGCGCGGGAGCTAATGCAGGAGGTCGAAAAAGGAGCGACGGGGAAGCCTTCCGGCGTGGTCCGGGCTGGCCGGGGGTAGGTTAGGTCGGGAACCTCTAGTGCCGGGCGAATGACGGAGGAGAAGAGGGCGGCGAAAGGGCGAAATGGACCTGTTCCAGCCCTGTACGGATACTTGCAATGTGAGGTAGCTGGGGCGATGTAACAGCACTACACAGAGTGTTCCTATGGTTCAATGGATTGATTGAGGGGTGCGCGGTGCTATTGATGCATGGACATCTGGGCGGTGATGATCCGAGTGATCCCCACAGGGTGACTGTGTAGTAATTAGACGATGGTAGCCGTGACAGGCACGAAGTGCCGATGGTACTGATGTCGGCAACTCGAGGGTGCAACTAGGCCCGCTACTTTCGATTATCGGGTTGTCCTCAGCACAAGGCCGCGACGAGTTTTGTGTCGAGCATGATTGCCAAGTAGTCTACCACGAAGTTGAATAGCAGCGCTAAAGAAAATGTAACATTCCCACTGCTAAGAGAGAGGTAAGTCCTTTGAGGAGGTGGCCTTTGGCTTTGACAAGTCGTCGGCTCACCCCCTTTCTCGCATGTCAAAGTCCGAGTTGACAAGCATGGGAGAGCTAAGGAGCTACGAATAGCGGCTACGTGATGACGAGTTTCAGCCTCCCAGTAAGCCACCCAGTAAGCTTCTCAGTAGAGGGCGGATGCGGATGCCGATGCGCCTGAAGTGGTTCGGAAATACAAGCTACACGACCTTCAGTAGACACCGAGGTATGAGTGCTATTGCGGTCGACCATGTCGAATACGAGACTCTAGAGTCCCTTCTCTTGTCTAAAATTGGGGTTGAATGGAGTGGACGAACCAACGAGGCGTCAAAGCCAGACGGCGTCAACTAAACGTAATCTGCTTGCCCATGAGACTCCTAAAGGCGTCATCTAGTGCCTTGCGCTTGCGACTTCTTTCCTCCTCATTGGCATCCTGGGGATCCGGGGTATCATCGTCGTCTTCAGGCCCGGGCAGCCGGGGCATCCAGGAACGAATCTGGCCGTCCAAGTGAGCCGTGTAGACGGCACCAAAAGAGGTCCCGCCTCCCATTATAGGCCCCTTTTGCAAACCGGAACCACCACTACCACGCCACACCATACTCATTGTGCGATTCTTGACATTCAAGCCATTGTTCTGATATACGGCCGCCGCATGAGGTCCAGGAACTCGTAGACGCGTTACCAGGGTGCCCTCATGTAGGTCCATGACCAGGATCTCTTGCTCGTTGGGATAAAATAGGAGATCCCGACGTGATGGCGTCAAACGAGCGGGCGTCACAAACATGTTGACGGTCTTTGGCTGTTGATTTTGTATCAGGGAGCCAAAACTAGCTAGCGTATTCGCGCCAGTAGCAGCATCCCAAACACGGATTCGACAATCCAAGCCGGCTGAGACGATGTACTTGCCATCGTCGGTCCAGGTCAAGCCGTTGACACCCTCATTGTGAGCTCGAGCTGAGTTGCGGAAATGAGGCATACGCTTCCAATGAAGGCCAGAAGCCATGGCATGGTCGAAGCGGTGTACAATGCCGAGGCTATCCTCCTGATCGAGCTGGCCGACCAAGCCAGAGGCGCGCCGTATGTCCCAGACGCGGACTTTCCCGTCGACATGTCCGGTTGCAAGAGCATGCTCCTGACGAGGACTCCAGGCTGCCGATAAAACAGCGCCCCCATGTGCTACCAGCGAGCGAATCGACGTTCCTGACCTGAGGTCGACCAAGCGAACCGACGAATGCTGGGTCGCGCAGGCGACCAAGAGATGATTGGCAATGGGGCTGGTGGCATGGGTGTAGATATTGGCATTGAGATCGAAATTGGCGGATACAGTCATGCGTTGAGTAGACCATAGCTTGAGCGAGCGGTCAAAGGAACTGGAGAGAAAGGCCTCGTTGTCGAAAGGGTAGAAATCAAGATGAGTAATGCCGTGCTTGTGGGTGTTTGTCTCATCTCCAATAGACCGGGAAATATTGGCAATGGGTTGAAAGATGTGAGATTTGTGAGGATTGCTCTCTTGATGAAGGTCCCAGAGCTTCACAGATCCGTCTGCGCCGCCAGAAAGAAGTCTACCATGACGTATCTGGTATTAGAAAACGCAGAGCGGTAGAGAGTGGAAGTGTAGATAGATGAGATACGTACAAACGACCATCAAACTTGTCCAAGGCCAGTGCGTTGACACCAATGCGGTGAGCCCAAAGATTCACATGTCGGCCCTCTTCTTCGGGTTCGGCTCCTTCTCCGTCGAACCGGTGCTGTGGAGCGGCGGCAAAGGATCGGACGAGCCCCGAGGCGGTCGCTTGCGCAAAGTCGTCCGGGCTCAGCTCACCTGTTGAGCGGGCAAATAAACGGGACTGCATTCATCTGGGACTGGGCCTTGAAGTGACAAGGTGACCTGAGATGAGAAGCCGTTTTGGAGAATTTCAGGCGAGTTTGACGTAAGGTGTGTGGTCGAAGTTTAACATGGGATGTTGATGAGGCTGAGACTGAGGCTAAGGCTGAGGTACCGAAGGAAGGTACCTACCAGGTAAGACTGGTGGATGGGAATATGAGGTTGCCAGAGACAGTGGTGATGATGTCAGCAATGGACTCTGTCCAGCGCAACTACCCCCTGTGGCTACCCTGTGGCTGCCCTACGGACGGTTGCTTTTCCAGGTGCACTTGCCCACCTGGGAGAGAGGAAGGAACCAGATAGAGGCCCGTTCATTGGCCAGACTGTACTTGAGCCCCACCCTTCAGAACCTTCCATTCTCTCAGACTCTGGGCAAGAACGGCAAGGTCGGTCAGGACATTCCTGCCCAACCTGAGAAATTGAATTTGAAGGGTAAAGACTCAAATCTGCCTCTCGTCTTTCAGGCAACCTCCCCAACGTCTTCATAACTTCCTCAAGACATGTGCCACCGACGGCGTAGACGATAACCCAATACTCGTCCTCTTTTTAGCCAGCTGCAGAGAACCCGATCTGTTGTATCGAGAGCCAACGACTACGGAGTATAGGTGCCATCATTCATCCACCAAGACAATACTCGGCGCTTCCGCTCTCTCAAGTGTTTTTGTATGCCAGCTTTCGTCGGCGACAACAACGTCCCAGGACTTACCTATAGGGGAACAACCAGAGGGAACAACCAGAGACCTTGTCATCATGGAAGAACGACTGGCAGATCAGCGCTCAGACATGTACGACCAGTCTGATGCACAGGGCCCTGAGCTTGTTCAACGTCCACCAGAAGAAGCTAAGCGGTCGCAAAGACATGCCAGCGTCTACGATGCTGTTGCAGGTAAGCATGACCCAAGCCTAGGCCTCTCTATCTGAATTAGTACCAACTCACTACCAGGAAGAATCATATTTGACACCGCATTGAATGCCGCTGTTCAAGATGAGAAGACGCCTCACACCAGCTCCAAACCGCCCAGGCTGACTAGACATCCCATCAACGCTTCCGCGTTAGCCCCGGAGGAGGTTCTGTTCCGTCGCAAGTCAGCACCCGAGCGCTTTGCCGAGTTCGATGTCTACATGGCACATGACCGGAACCTTACAGACGGTGGTCGCACATCCCTGCCGGACTCTGATCTTCTCAAATCCGTACACACCTATGCGAGCTACTTTTATGCTGCCCTTGGCGGCCCAAAGCGCAATCTTTCGTACCAAGTTGGCGCTCGCAATATTGACGAGAGAAGTATGGATGAGTCGGCCTTAATCGCCTTGGGCATTTTGCTCGAAGAGGCTGGCAGAGACGTCTTAGGAAGCAAAGGAGACATGGTCTTCACCGAGGGCCTCCAACTACCCGAGGACAGCAACCCGACGTATCAAGAACCACGCGCCGCGACCAACACGCCAACTTATCCTGTGCTCGGACACGTGAGCCGGGAGACAGCCCATGTCGGTTTCGCTGACGTTGGGTCCTGGAAAAGGGCAACCAAACGACAAAAACTGAGCGATCCCGATAATGCCTAGAACCTCTCTGGATCTCTCACTTTCCGAGATGTTGGTTCCAACACTCCCCGCCAAACCCTTGTCACCGCTCGACTTGCTGGCACTTTTGCACTTGGCGACCGTTGCCAGCAACCCGGAACAAGTATGGATCCTCATTTAGCGATCGGGTGAGCAATCGAGACACGGCAACTCGGCATCTGGTACTTGCGTGCACGGGGACAGTCGTGGACTTGCACAGCCTTGTTCATTGTTTGCTCTTGTAAGAAAGAGTAGCAAATATGTCGGTCACAAGATCCACGGCACGCTCGACATGAATATTCGGGCGTGGTCAGCGACGGCATATCTCAATGATGACCGAATGCAGAAGGCCGTTCCATAATGAAGCACCCATCGAATCAGCCGCCGCTAGACACCCAGTCACTGCCAGGATCTGCCATCTAACCTCTGAACTGTCTCGATCCCACACATGGAGCGCTTGGAACAACCGGCTCATTGACGGATTGGCCCTGACCTCGCAAACGCTCTACGCCCGACAACGCCGCATGTTTTCTCCTTTCGTTTGTTCAAGAGACATAGCAGGCTTATCTTGCCTACCACGGATGAGTGTCCCGCTGTATCTATGTATTTCTCGTGGGTTCCAGTTTCTTTTTTCCGCAACTTTGTATGGAGGAAATACATCGTGGCCAAGTCCGATGAAGTTTGTTGGAACACAGGTTTCGCTTAGCAAGATACCCACCAAGACTCGGAACAGAAACTAAGATTTGTTTGCGATAGACTCTCAGCGCCTGCCATACCCACCAGTTTGCGCGCCAACCGTCTGCTGTCGACCGCTTTGGTACGACATCATCTATGCTCGAGCGAGTTTTGACGAATTGAAGCAGCTGGCGACGCTAGGCGCTATGTAGTCTATTTCTAGGACTAGACGAAAGGCTTTTTTGTCAAGTTTACGAAGCGCAGCAGAAACAAGGGGAGCCGCCCAGGGTCATTCACAATTTGACTCATGTCGGCATAGAAAGTGAAGAGTGCGAGGTCGGGGTGAAAGTCCCATTCAAACCTTGGCAGTCTACATCGATACCAAGTCAGAGCAGGCGATGGAAAATGGCGTCGGCACAATCTCTCCGCCCACCGTCAGCGACCTTTCACCATAGACCGCAGAGCTCATACCTGTAACCAACTGCCGTCGAGATTGAATACATTACACGTCAAGCCTCAGGGGAAAGAAATCTAGACATCGCACAATCCTGACGCTGATGACAACTCTTAATTCTGCAGGTATGGAACATACGTCCGCCCAATGATTCTACCCCTGAGAGCCATTGGTACTCAACTGAGAATCTTATATCACAACGGATCGCAAATCGTACGTCCTCAATGTGAAGCGAGAGACTCCATTTCGGTGATATGGCCGACTCCCCGGCTTTACTGGGGTATGCATACATACTGTTGGCCTTCGGGACAGCTCTCAGTGCATAACCGGCCATCGGTTCACTGAAAGACGACAAGGTGACGAAGTATGAGGACAGCGAATGCTGTAGAATGTCATCCAAACCAAGTTCAGTCGTTACGAAGGCATATGTTCAGGCATGAACAGAACACCGCCCGAGTCTCACAGACGCAGCTTACTAAGCAACACTGTTTGACCGCTTTCGTACACGGTTGGTGCCTCGCTCCGACTTGGGGTCGCATCCGACACACCGGACCGGAATGGAGGCGGGTACGGATCTAGATGTCCGGCTGCCGGTGTGGGGGTCTCATCCGGCAGGTCACCCGATCACCTCACCCGCTCCGGGAGAGCTTCACTGAAGGGTTCAGACTCTATTTTTGCCGCTGATATCGGAATGCGCGATGGGCTCAGCACACATGTTCTGTCAGTTAGCGAGTTCGATTCTAATGCCGGACATGCTTGTGCAAGACCGCACTCATATCAGGCTCACACATTGTCATGTTCGCCAATTTTGAGCAACCTACTTACAATGCCCAATGACACGCATCAGAAGAAATTTTGAGAGCTGATGAGGGCAAGCCCCAGGACCCCCCGACACATAGAAAAGGAAATCTCAATCCAGCTTGGCGTATCGCGACCAGGGCTTTGGTTGAAATCGGAAATCGGAGATCGGCTTGACTCCCTTGCAACACAAGAAAAGTCAGTTCCGTGAGCTCTGTGCCTCTGGCAATCTGGACGATATACACAGTAGAATCTTGCTCTTGCGGTCCACCCACCTCAGCTGTTAGCACTGAGCATGGCCTGCGCTGCAACGTAACAGAACCCCTTTTCGGCGCCCGCTGTGTGTAAACTGGAACACGAAAAATTTGCCTCTGGCGGCGACACTAGGCCGGCGGAGATATTTAGGGGTACACTATCAGAACAAGGCATTGTGCCGTCCGCAATAGAGATGGAAGTCGGAAACGCCGTTCATGGTTGTGGTTGGGCATCGAGATCAACATTCGTCGACCTTGCGACGAAAGTCTGTTCAGCCATGTGCAACCCGCTTTGACCGCTTGACAGTCCTCGCACAGCAGAACCCTTGGGCTGCTTGATGACATTTCCCACCTAGATTTGCAACATTCAGGCATCAGGCTCAACTTGGAGTTTGATCTATCCCTGAGGGCCACGCGATCCGCAAGGGGGCGTATCACAGTTTCGGTGTCGCTCTCGTCATGTGACTGATGATGCAACGGTACACCGATGTTGTAGTTGGCAACACATCGCTTGTGCCAACAACTTTTTCGACCTGCATACGGATACTGCGTGCAATAGCTGTATTAGGCAAAAGTATTCCTCACTCAAGGATTCCCCTAGACCGCGAAGGGCTTTCATGGCGGACTGCGCAAGCTTGAGAGATCTTCGGATATGATAAGCATGAACCGGAGGCGACGCGATCAGACATGGTCGTATTATCCACTAACATGTGTACCGCACCGCTCAGTACTCTTCATCGCTGGTAGCACTGGGGCCACTGTCCCTCGAAGGCTCGAAACACTGCAAAAGGGGCCAGGATTTCGTTGAAGAATATCACGGCAGATCGTTCGCAAAAAAGGATGTACTCTGTTACAGCCAGAAGAGTGCCTATCCCGGTCTAGCGCTAGTATCTCCTTTCCTGCTTGTCTTGACAAATTTCCCCGGCCGTTGGACTTCGTGGTCACCTAATATACGCACGGAGAACGGGGACGATGTCTGTCAGACTGCCAGACCGGCATCTACCGACGAGCTGAAGAAAAAGGAAGCAAAGGAAGAAGCGGAGCACGCCAAAAAAAAAATTAACAACTGTCTGGACCAACGGCCACCGTGTTGCAATATGTCCATGCTCACCGACAGCCCACCGATGGATCCGACGTGCCAACCTCATGTCCAGGATCTCGACGTGACTGGATGGAGCAATCCCCTTCATTATGACGGTGGCTTCGTTTCAGCTTCTGGCTAAGCGACTACTTGATCTTAGTCTCGGGGGATGGAACGGCGGTTCAACCTTCTCGAGCTCTTGGCCCCGGATCTAAATTGGAAATTGTCTCCAGCAACGGAACGCCAGAAGCGTTATTCGACGGGGAACTGATTCGGCCCGGACGCTATGAAAGCTGGACGTACCGAATACACGGCAGTATGTACTCACACAAGTCATTGTCGTTTCCGACAACTGCCTAGAACGTTTTAAGTAACCTTGAGGGCGAAGTTCTATCAACAAAGCACCTGCGCCACGTGGCTTCCAGCTGGTGCGATTTTCTTGACCGACATACGTGTCAGCCGCCTGCGGTAGGAGGCACGTTTATTCCAGGCGCTTGTTTGCAAAGAAGACTGGTTCAGCAAGCAATGCGGCTGCTATTCTAAGACACAACACGCTCCGTTCCCGTTGCGGTGCTTGCCTTCCCGCCTGTGGCGCTGCCTCTGAAATTTCGAATGATATGCGAGGGCCCCCAACGCAGCTCGGGATGATCGACGCAATGCCGGCCGAAAAGCATTGCCACAGCTCAAGTCACAAAGCCTTTTCTAACGACCACGTCTCGAGTCTCTTGACTGGCCAACTCGCACACACGGAACTCGTAAGGAAACTACCGGAGACGCCTGCTAGTTTGACCGGTCAAGACGAACAATGTTGATCCTTGGTCTCGGTGTGACAGTACGAATAATGGCCTGATTAAAGTGCGTGATCGGAAAATGAACCAAGCTCGGACCACTGTCGAATATCTTACACCGCCAACCGAGGTTCCGAATTCTTCAAGAGTCAGGAAAGCGCGTTTTGATTATCAGATTTGAAGGTGTCATTGCCTGTGGGCAGCCTGGTGTGTCAGCTCGTGAGAACACAACGGCCCAAAACCTGAGGGGTTGCTGTTGAAATCCGAAGGCATCTTGATACAAGGTTCGGAGAACAGGTCCTGTGCGCTGCAGACCGAAAGATCCTGAGAAATGACAAAAGCGAGGGGCACCCAGCGGGTCTGCGCTGTTACTCTAATCCTACGGATTGGCTTTCAACCCTCACCTATCCGTCTAATGGAAGTAAATCCTCGCTTTTCAGCCGCAGCTGTGTATACGCATACCGTCGCTTCAGAGTAACTACGAATAAGCTATCGGATATTGCAGGGAACAAGGTCGATTATTTCCCTTACGAGCGAGCGCCCTACGGCTCAGGCAATCTCTCGGGTAGTTTTTGGGCTGAAAGAAAACCTTCTGCGGCAACACATGCTGGCCTCAAAACAGGATTGCCAGAAACCAAACAGTCCATATGACTGGCGCTCCTATGATAACAGTGCAACATATCTGGGCTAGGTGTGCTTTGTACCTCTGACGGCCATCCCACCCCGCCCGTTGCGACCTAAGCCGTAATCGGCACGGCTGTTCTTCTCATCGCCAATGTTCAGATGTCATTTTCGATAGACCGACCGTCAGCACAACGGTAGTATTCTGTGGAACAGTGGAACAGGTTCGTTCTAACGCACCAAGCCGACGCCTGCCGCCGCCCGGAGCATCAAGAGAATGAGGAGTCAAGGACTCAAGAGGCTTGCCGCCTGCGTCTTATCTACAATGCGTTGAATTTTGCGACATGGCCGCCTGGTTCTCTCAGATACCCTAGCAAACCCTGGTAAACCTTCGTCTCCAGTCGGCGGTGCACCAATCTCCGAACCTCCAACATCTCCTCGGGTTGCTCTTTTGGGCCCTTTGGGAAAGCGACCGCACCAGCCAGAATCGGAGAAGGAGCTCATTCGCAATCACCGATACTGATCCAAGCTGCAAGGCTTGCTGCCGAAGGCGATGCCAGCCGGGCATGCACGTCGCCTATGTGTGGCGGCTCCCGCCCAAGTCATCAGCCATTACGAATATCACATCCCCCCCCACCACCCCCCCCCCCCCCCCCCAGCTCATCCACCCCACCCACGCCTCCCGTCCCCACGGCCAAGGGCGCCCGCCGAGGGGCAGGCACCCCGGGCTGGCCCCGCCCCTTTGGGGGGCGGCCCCCCCCCACGGTCTCACCCCATACCAAATTCCCACCCCCCCCCCCCCCCCCCCCCCCCAATGGAGATGAAGAACAATGGCTGTGCGGACTTCGAAGCAGTCACGGCAGGCTAGTTTCGGGTCAGTCAGGAACAGCGGCAGGCGTCGTGGAGGACAAACTTCGGTCGTCAATGCGACTATTGAAGGCGAACCCTGTCGATCCTCCAACTAGATTTGTTCCCCGCATCCCGCGTTCCATGGAAGACAGCCACTTCCTTCGTGGACACGCCTTTGAGTTCCTTAACCGCCCAACGGCTGCCTCGCATTTGGTCGAGCCGCTCTACACTACACTACGGGCAGTTTTGAGACGAGACGAACAGAAGTCTAGCTTCCGTCTTCCCCGGCGCAACTCGCCGACCTGCTATCCCTACAAGGGCACCTTCGCGGATAAGTCTGCCACAGACTTCTGGTGGTTGTGTGCGCCCGTCATGCTGTCTCTGACGACACTGTATCCTTTCTTGCACAATAATGGGAGACATCGACTTCCTGTCTCGAAACCTCATGGTGGGCTTGTGCTCGGACGCTTTGCCCAGGACCCTACCTGTCCGGCGTGCTTGATACGCAGCTCATAATGCCGCCGCGCCGCCCTTCTGCACGGCTTCCTGCAGCTAAGCCCACGGACGTTGAGAGCAAGTCGGCAGGCTTATGCTACAGGGAACAGCCTAGCAATGCAACCTTCGAGTCAAAGTCACCCCATCCCCGATACTGCCCTGTCCGCTACTTGGTGCAGAACGGAATAGCTGCTTCGATGGCTGTCATTGTGCAGCGTCTGCCTATAGCGGTTTCTGGGTAGGCAACAGGTTGAGCCCGAAGATCATTCAGTCACTTTGGGATAGAGGAGCTGAAGCCATACATACAAAGCAAGTGATATTCTCATCGAGGGTAAGGATTTCACAGGATAACATCTGCGCCCCAGAACCTTACTTGGCGATCATGGCAGCCCAAGAGGAAAGTTGTGATACGGTTACAGATCTAGCCAGCACATCTCGCGACGCGACAGTTTACTCACCGTTTCCCGAACGAAACCCCAGGGGCGAGCAGCCGCCTATGCTGCGGCAGTTGCAGCCAGCGCGGAATTGTGCGTAATTCTCTGACGAAATGAGGATTTATGACCTCAAGCTTACTGACATGGCGGGGGTTTGTGGACTAACAACGTTCTGCTGATTAGACTTGGAACCTAATAGGAACCAGCCAATTTGGACGTATAGCCATCGTCGTCAACCACACCGGCCCACTGATGGTCGTCAGCGTCTGCAGATCAAGAACTCTACTCACTACCGCAGGCTACAAAAGGCGGTGACTGATTTGAAAGCAATATTGGCAGGCGACTTTGTCCTTTTGATGGAGTCTCTCAGATACGAGACGAAGCTGGATGTCATCAAACAACGCTGGCGCCTTGTTGGGTGGGTCGTATCGGCTCATATCTTGTGTCACTTGCACGGTCGATTGACATATCAAGACCGTCCAGTCATTCATGGCAGCAAACGGTGTTTATTGGACTTTATGTGAGAAGCCTGGGTGCCGGAAACCTAAATCATTGGCGAAGTGATCTCATCTCGAAGGGCCCGGCTGTGAGGTATTCTGCCCAGCGTTGAGCCCGGGGACTTTGGAGAAGACAAGTGACCAGGCACTGCCAACGGAGCGAACTCCGACATCATTTTACCAGCTCAACCGCCTTTGCCCTTGTTCGCAAGAGAGACGCTCGGCACTTTCAATCTTATTGACCTCGATGAGAGGCCGCAACCGCTGCGAACGCACATTAATCAAGGCATGGGGTACGTTCTATTATATCTGATATCGGCAGCGGCAGAGGAGAAAAAGATATGTACTACTTATTTTTGGGTGTTGCTGAAGACTTCCAGGGAAAGCCTTGTGAGGACCCTGCAACACAGCTGGCAGAGAACGAGTACCTCCTGTTACAGCTGTTTGCCATGAATATCTCGAGGGCACACTTCACTGGCTACTCGGTTGTGCCCCTTTCGGACGTAGCCCCAGGCCATGGGGTCGCATTTATCTCTCAGAGACCACAGTCGGGCATTTATTGAGACGGTTCGAGTGCGACGGGTGCTTCCATGACTCCCGACAACGAAATGGAGATGCCGACAGCCCGCCCAGGGAACAAGCTTGAATACAGTTCATTGGCGCAACGGCGTTGTAAATTGCTTTACACTATCCGTACGACGAGTGGCTAGGCATTGGTGGAGATTTATGGATGTGATAACTTTGTGATCGGGACTGGCAACAATTGCTATGGCTATGACGACGACCTCAGCAATATTTTTGCCAGAGCGGCACACCGCTTGCATGCCACCATGTCCCGTGATACCACTGACGACCGCACGCCTCACTTGTCCAGCCTCGCACGCAGAGTTGTCACGACTTAAAGCGCGCTTGTACTAGAGTCGGCTGCTTTGCGCTGGTCACGTTGACCATACCCCAAATGCCAGTCGCTGGACGAGGTAGGGATCTTCCACAGGATTTTCCTCGGTACCTTGCGCTCGGGCTGGGCTCGGTAGCCTTTGACCCGTTTTCGAAGCTAAGGAGATTTGGAGGCGTGGCTCTTTTCTCTCTCCTCTCATCCCCCCTGCTGGATGACGAGCTTCTCACTAACAAGCAAGATGCGGCAATGAACTTGGAGTAAGTCGGAGGGGGCCGCTCTTTTGCTCGAGGCTGGAGGGTACTAAGCCATGTACTTGCGGACCATATCCGCCGCATCTTATATCAGCACTCGCATCTGTCGCACGCAGCTATCTCGCGTTGGCCGCCGCAGCCCCAAAAAGCCCCCGATGAGCTGTCAATTATCGATAATCCGAGGCTCGTCGATGGGGTTTTCGGCCTCCGACATGTTTTTGGGACAAGCATCCAGGGACAAGGTAGCTGTACCTGCAACTGCATGTCCAAGCTCGAGCCTGAAGTGTTGAACATGACGCACTTGAGCACCGACAATGACAGAAATGTCGTTGTCGTACAGTGACGGATTCGCGCTGTGTAACGATGCGCAAAGGACCTCCGTTCAGAGTAGTAAGCGAGACAATGCACAGTACCTGGACAAGAGGGCAGCATGGTAGCGTGCCTGGCCCACGTTGCCTTACGAAACCTTGTTACAGACGACACGACAAATAACCAATGTTTGGTTCTGTCGATATGGACAGACTTTCGACACACGGCCGATGATTCCACGTGCCTTTGAAGCTCGCCGGTGCTGCCGAGTCCGAATCCGGGACGGACTTGAGGCGATTATCACTTGCCGAGCACGCAAAATGGTCCCTTGGCGCTGTTGCCCTCCCATTCGAATTATGTCGAGGTTGAAGGGGTTTGACAAGAGAACCAGTCAACTCGAGATGGAGCAATCGCCATCTTCACAAGTCTTGACAAGCTCTCAGCCAGACAAGCAATGGATCCTGCTGCAAGGAGTTACACCACCCACAAGTGACAGCCAACAAACTCCGAGACACTTTCCTCTGTTTTCTGGAAGTTACAGGGCAGCATTCGATGCTCATTGGAAGTCCTCACAAACTACAAAACCGTAGAGGTGGGAAGAGGGGGGACCACCGCGACTTGAGGGTGGGGGAGAAGAAAGAAAATTTCAAACCGTTCTGGGGTCAAAACCCACTAACCAGCTCCACAGCGATGGGTTCCTCTTTGCCGAATTGCAGACGACTCACGGCGCGTATTGAAGACTTGAGGCCCCACGATCTGCTCAAGTTGAAAGTCGGTGCGCTCGAGTGGTTCCTCAGGAGTCGAATGGTTCGGAGAGACCAAGATCATGTTGCAGAGCCGATGAGCATTGATGTGGAACATGAGCTGCCCGACAATGGTCTGCTCTTCCGTGTACTGTGTATACCAGAGGTCAGCCATGAATCGCAGACTGATGTATCGAGTACGAGCCGGCGCATTCGAGGTGTGCCGCATGTTGCGCCTCAACCGCCAGGCAAAGCGGTATCGAGTACGCGGACCTTCGGCGCGGACTGTCGGCCAGCGATCCACCCCTCCAAAAGAAAGTGAGGGGCTGACAGTACTTGAAAGCTACCTGGTTCTCTCACTGCGACGTCACCGCACCACGAGTACACTTGTGTGTCGCTTGTCGGGGCCACCGCTGCCGCCCAGGTGACTTGAAGTCTTGACCGTCCCGGCCGACAGGAGCGGCCTTTCTACTGCGCCCCGCAAGGGAAGAGCTCCAACAGCTCCATCGACCCCGTTGCGAAGGCCGCCATTGTCCAGAAGAGGCTTGAAGTGTTGCGACGAGACCTAAGACGTGCAAGACTAGGACCAAGAATCAGAATCAGAATCAAACAGCCAGCTGGTCAGCAGACCAAGAGCAAACATCGCGCCCCTAGTGGGTAGCAGAACAAGAGCACCCATGAGCGTGATGGAAGACATTCTTGGTACATATCAACGGACGGAATCACGTACGGATACACGAGCATGTCGACGATGATAGGCGGCGATACCCGTATCCGTACAGCACGCTTTTGGACTTCAACTCTGTTGGCCAACTCTACCGTACTCTCGCCAACCTTCGGCTGGCACTCATCACACACATACCGTACACACACTTTCTTCAAAGTTTGGCCTCTCCGTCACCGCCGACATCAGGATAGGGCGGGCAATCCGCAGGCAAGACTGCTTCTGTCAGTCTGTCTCGGGCCCCTCACCTCCATTTCGGCAGCTAACCACGACTGACGGGCAGCATTCATCCTTGCTCCCTTACTTCCTCTCAAGCGGGCATCAGCGAGCAAATGGACTTTGCCCACCACCCTCAGCTCTACTGGCTCTTCCGCTCGTGAGTGACTTCGGTAGTGGTTAACCTAACCTCTCCCCTCCATCCCTCCATCCTCGAGCAAGGAAAAAAAAAAAGGCATCACAGACCACCACTCGCACCAACAAACAACAAGCAAATCTGGACAAGCTGGTGTCATCTTTTGCTTTCCACACACCCCCTGTCCCTCGCCCGCCTGCCGAGGACCCCTCCCATCCCATCTCATCCCACATCTCCAAAAAGCTGCTCAGACCGACATCAAGGCTCAGTCACCCCAGTCGAGCGCGAGCAAGGCAGGTCCCTCGGCGCTCCGAGTCTTTCCAGGCACCCTCCGTGCTTCCCAGGTACCGGTCCCTTGGACCACGGCGTCGGAGCGAGTTTTCTGCTCTAAGACGGTTCACCGTCTCTGCGAATGAATCGTTACTACTGGGCAGCAGTTCGACATACAGTATCCGTATCCCACACTATCAAAAGATGCTTGCCAACAACTAGCCGGCTTGGCTCTGGTTTGACTTTGGCGAGTCGCATACTTTCGTCCGTCCTGCGGCAACATTGCGCCCACCACACCATGTTTCTCTCTCTTGACATTCGTCAGTCACAGTGACGGAGGCCAGCTCCGATCTCCAGCCCTTCTGTTCCGGCCTTTTCCGCCTTGACTTTGACGTAGTCAGCAAACGAACGGGCCTTTTCGTCCATGCATTTGGGTTTTATATCGCCGATGGGGAACGTTATTCGTCAGATTTAGGGTCAACCCCAGACCTGGGGGGACGGGCGAGCGAGCGAGCGAGAAATGAAGAGAGATAATGAGAGAGGTTGAAAGAGAGCGACGAAGAAAGGGAGAGTAAAAAAAAAAGAGGCTTTTTGCACTCCCCCTGGTACTCTTCGCCTCGCGCCCGCCACCAAGGAAGGGCCCTGTGTACGACATTCAAGCCGCTAAAATAACGTCGACGCTTGTTTCTCTTCACGACTCACGTCGAATCGCTTGAGGATGGCAAAGTGTTGGGAAGAATTGCCCGCCACGTCCGCCACGCCCGCCACGAACAGCCTCGTCCAATCCAACCGTGGCCCAGTCTAGCGGTCGGCACCCGCGAAGCACCAAAGATAGTATCTTGCGCGCAGCAGCAGCATCGGCATGGCAGCAAGCAGCACAGCAAAGCAAAGTACAGCACAGCGCAGCGGTCAAGTGACGAGTCGAGGCGGCGCACTGCGAACGGATACTACTTGACTGCTTGGGCGAGTTGGAGCATGGATTGCATGTCGCTGCTCCGCACTCGTTTTGTTTGCCTGCCCATCCCGTTCCTTCGCATAGCATCGCATCGCACGCCCGCGGGTTTCCAAACCGAAAGAAAACCTAATAATACAGCAGACCCTTCTTTTGCAAGGACCTGCCATCTTGCTATCACACCGCAACCATACGTCAGCTCACCGTACATTACACCGGCCAGCTGGCCCCTCGTGGACCACCAGCGACGTAATGATCAAGACAAGACAAGAGGGGGACCAGAGCCCCAGAAAAAGCGGAACTTGGACATTCCTTTGCA